GGGGGGGGGGTTATTCATTGGGATAATTTGGGGCAAAATGGGGTAATTGTCCCAATGAGATAATTTTACCCATTGGGATAATTTGGGGCAAATTGGGGTAATTGTCCCAATGAGATAATTTTACCCATTGTGATAATTTGAGTGGGATAAATTAGGGTAAATTGGGATAATGAGATAAATTTGGGGGCACAATTAATTACAATGAGGCACAATTAATTACATTTGAGTGGCATCTAAAAATTCTGCTGTTAATTATTAAAAACATTACCTTCAAGCCCGTGAAAGGATGGGTGAAACGAAGGGACGCAAGATAAGGGATGAGATAAATTTAAATTTGTTTTATTTGCAGCTAGACCCCTGCGGGCAAAAAGTAGTAGAAAAGATAAAAATAAAATTCCAGTCAGGGGGTGTAGGTGCTAATGAAATAGTTTGTGTAGTTAAGTGCAAAGGTGCATAATACAAGGGTCTATATGCAATTAACCCTAAAAAACATAATAATGGATGGACTTTCCAACTAGGTGGACACGACTGTTATGTTAGAAACTGTAAAAAGAAATATCAAGCAATAGTACCTTGGTTCAAAAATAATCACAGAGAAATAATATGATGAATATTTTGGAAACACTTGTTATAAATTTAATATCTTCGTCTACTGCAGTATTATCAGCTTGGTTAACTTATCTCTATTTATATGCCAAAATGCGAAACTGAGGGTTCAATATCTCTTGTATATTTGTCTCAGGCATGCCCAGTGTGCAATGACGACGTTTTTGGTTAAACTGATAAATTGAAAATTTGCAATCAGCCAAATACAACATTAGCATGCATTTATAGTCTGTTGTATATTGATGCAGACCCCATTTCGATTTTGATCTTTGTGTATTCATGAAAGTATATTATCAATGGAGAGAGTGATATCTCTGACAAGTCTTTAAGTTTGGTATGGGCAGAGTTTGGACTGCATGTAATTGATAAATGATATTTAGTCGAGTGAGTTTATGAATGTAAGTTAAGCCTATACCGCCCTATGGTTACTATGGAGATGCGACTGCCAAAATATTGTTATGTGGAGGTGCCTTTTTTGGGTTTTGTTTTTTCAATATTAGTCCCTCAAATATTTGTAATTTGTGATTAGTCCCTCAAATCATTTATATTGCTATTAGGTCCCAGAAATCAAATGGCTTCTAGCTATTTAGTTCCTCTGGCTAGTTGATGCTGATTTTTTTATGGATTTTTCCGTGTCTTCTCTGCTAACTCATTTCTCTAAGATGTTTAAACCTAAACCCTGTTCTAATCTGCTCCAATGGTAAAAATCCAATTCTTAAGTTATGGAAGATGAGAATGGGTGGATGTTTGGTTTTTTAGGGTAAAATGTGCACTGGGGATATTTTAGGTTGGGTTGAACTGACCCAACCATAGTTTACACATTTAAGAGCAAAACTAATAGAGCGACTAAATTGCATGAGATCGTATAATTTTAGGGACCTGATTGAAGTTTCAATGATTTGTGGGATTAATCTTAAATTATGGTAGACTTAATGTATCAATATTGAAACCTCCCCTTGCCCACCAGCCCCATGCTCTTTTTAAGGCAAAAACTTTGGATTTGGATCCTCTCCACTACAAAAGAGTAGTGGAGAGACCAGAATGTTTAACTTTAACCAATAGTTATTTAATGAGTGATTTTTGATTCATTCTAAATTTAACTGGTACTTTACCCTCATGTATTGTGTTTATTCTTAATTTGTACTCTAAGGACTGTTTGGTTCGCTAACCATGAAAAGATGGAAAATGAAATTTTATGGGAATCACATTTCCTTATATTTCCTTAAAAAAGATGTTTTTAATTTGTTTTGCATAGAAAACAAGGGTGTCCAAATATACCCCCTAAATTTCCTTAATTTTCTATGATTGGTTGGAGACAAGAGACTTGGAAAACAAAAATAACAGAAGTATTTATCCAATTACCTTTGTTTGGTTGGAGATGAAACATCATGGAAATGTAGATTGTGCTCAGCACAGTAATTTTACGTCCTATATAAGAAAACAACAAAATCAACAAACCCATTAATTGTGTATCACAATGGCTAAATTAGCCACAAAAAGCAACAACCGAAAATCTGCTGTGGGAGAACCTAATAGTAGTAAGTAGACGCAACGGTCAAAAAACAACCTGACATTAGTGCATCTCAATGGGTATATTAGCCAGCAAAAATGCAACAACCTAAATTCTAACGTGGGAGAACCTAGCAACAACAACCAAGCCCAACAATCAAAAAACAATCGCATCTAAACTGCATCAGAACGGGTATATTGGCCAATAAAAAAGGCAACATCCCCAAATTCTCTTGTGGGTGTTAGGTCTCATGTTATGAGCCTACATCTTCTAATCTTGTTTTGATGATTACAAACAATTCCTAATATTGTTTATCTAGTGTTTATGTTTTCTTATTAGGTATTCTAGACAAACAATATGTTGGAGGATGGATGGACTAGAGCTTTCACGATCATATCCATTGGGGGATGGATGAAATATCGGAGTGAAGCCTATGCATACTAGTCAAGATCCTAAGTCAAGCTTCTTCCATGTTTACCAAGACAAGCTACAATGAAGATCTATCAAGCTTGGGTAAATTAGTTTAAGGTTTATATAATGTGTGTTAATTCTATAAGCTCAATACTATACACACACAATTTAATGGTTTATGTGTTTTATCCACAAAAGTTTTTGCAAATAAATAGATATATAATACTTATTTGTTTTCTATATGGATAAGTTGTTTTGGTTTAGCTATATACATATGAAGCAATATATATCTTTATTTTCACATTTATGTGCTTCATATTTTATTGAATTTGCAAAATATTATGTTTATGGATTGAAGACTTATCTATACTATTTTCATATCTTGTATAAGTCTATAAATCCATTATAAAGTATTTCAAAGTTTTGTCTAAGTCATTTTGGCAAAATCAAGTTTTTAACATGTTCATACTTATGTGATTTTGCAAAATGATGAGATTTCATATTTGGGAGATGCTTTTTGAAAACCAGTTTTTATAGCATGTGTATTATCATGTCTACAATCATTTCTCAAAGTTTTATAATTTTTAGAATTTGTTTACTATTTTTAAAGGCAGTTTGAAAATCAGGTTTCTGCTTTAAAACAAGTTGTATACTTGTTATCAGTCGACCGATCAGTCGACTGATGAAATCAGTCGTCCGATCAGTCGACAGATGAAATCAGTCGACCGATCAGTCGACTGATGAATGTGCCTGCAATTTCTATTTTGCTCTCTTTTGTGTTTTGGTCGACTGACCAGTCGACTGATGAGGTCGTCAGTCGACTGATTAGCTGAAAAATACCTACAAAGGTCAGCTCATCAGTCGACTGATGAAAGCCGTCAGTCGACTGATGGCCTGTAACGGTTATATTTCCAGTTTTTGTTTTTTTGTCATTTTGCTGGATTTCACTTGGGTTTTGAGATTTGTTTCTTCATCCTATATATACCGTATACCATTTCACTTTTGAACCAAGAAGAAAAGTTTTAAAACAAGTTTAAAAAGAGTTTTAGTTTGTTTTGAGTGTTTGTTTACAAAATTAGTTTTGTGAATATTGTTTTATAAGAAGAGGAGATCAATTTCAGTTTGGGCTTTCAATCTTCTTACCCCTCTCTCTTGTGATTAGAGAAGTGTTTCTAAACTCATATCTCTAGCTTGTTTATGCTTTAATTGTTATATTCATATTTGCTAGATTTAATTGAGTTTATATTTGATTTTCTCATTGTTTGCACACACAACCATTGAGCTTAACTATTTTCACATATTGTATATTTTGGGTTGTGGTGAGTGTAACCTTGAGAGTGAGCTTACACTTAGTTCTCATCTTGTATTAGAGAACAAACATTGTATTTGAGCCTAATTGTGAGATACACTTTGTAATACACTTGTACACCAAGAGAAGTGTGTGGTGAGAGACGGGGTCGTCCCAAGAGGAGTGGGATAGGTGATAATGCCTAGAAGTAGGTTGTAATTCCTAACACTTGAGGGAGACACGGGCTAGAGACCAATACTTAGAGGGTATAAAGTGTGATTGCAAGAGTGTGAGATTGTAGAGTTTTCGGTGAGCTAGAAAACCGAGTGTGTAGAAAAGTTCCGGCTTTCAAACCGGGTGTGTCGAGATAGTGGAGATCTCCTCGAGGTGAGGAGCAGAGACGTAGGTCGTGGGGACCGAACTCCGTGAACATATCTTGTGTTTGAGTTTGCTTTGTGTACATTTATTTTGTGCTTGTAATTTATATTCTTGCTCACAATTCACTCATATATCCTTTGTAAGAATTAATTAATCATATAAGTTTTAATCGGCATTAATATCTAATAAGATTAGCAATAACCCTATTCACCCCCGCTCTAGGGTACTTTCAGTGGGAGAACCCAGCAGCAAGCAAACTCAAAGTTAAAAAAACAACCTAACAATAGTGCATCGCAATGGGTTATTAGCCAACAAAAAAGCCAACAGCTCCAATGGTTATATTTGCCAGTCTTTTTTGTAATTTCAATATGAATATATACCAGCAAACAATGGTTTATATAGTGCTCAAATAATAGTGTTCTCTCCTACAACCATCAAATAGATAATAAGAAAGAAAAATTATTTTTTTCTCTTTTCAAGAGCCATAGCAAGATAAATAGAGCGGGTCCTATAAGCAAATCAAGTTTGATGCTACTATCAAATCCTAACACCCCTTAAGATGTGCACAAATGGTAAGAGCGGGGTTAAATGTTTTTGGGGTTGTGCAAAATATAAACATAGGCAAAACAACTTTTTTGCTTGGGCTCAAGATGATAGTGAAATGAAGAAAGTCGTGCCAAAAGTTTGAGACTATGAAGTAGAAGAAATGAAAGCATAAAAAAATCAAACCACAAGATAAAATAAAAATGAAGAGAGCGATGCTAAATGTTTGAAAATATATTGCCCAAGTTCGAAAATATATCGCCAAAGTTTGAAAATGTGAATGTAGAAGAGAATAAAGCATTAAAAAAACCAAACAATTGAAGCAAGTGTTGAAGCAAGCAAACAGTGAAATTGATTTTTGAAAAATTTGTGCATTCTTTTTATGTTTTTTAAATACTTCTTATGTTATCAAACATTGTAATATGTACCATGATTATGCATTGAAGAATATATTATGGTTTGAGTGAATATATGACTGTGTATAAAACCTAGCTATGGTAAAAGAAAAATAAAATAATATTTCATTTGTTTATCATAAAATTAAGTATCGCCATGTAAGAAAAATTTTCAATGAAATTATAACTCATTGTACAACGCTCAGAATTGGTCAATATCATCATGGCATGTCTTGCCAAAGATAGTTATTGATAACATAGTAAGCTGCATTATTGCATTGTCTATACAATGAATCAATAACTTATGACTGCATGTATCAGAGTATATCAATCATCATAGCACTAGTAAATATGAATTCCAAACTTGTTAAAACATGCTATGGAAATAAAAAATTTCAAATTCATAGATTACCATACCAGTGCAATGAATTAACAATGCAAGTTGCAAGTCTTGAAATATGATCATCACAATAGGTTCCTCATTCTAGAAGCATGTTCTTGAATTAACAATGCAAGTTGCAAGTCTTGAAATATGATCATCACAATAGGTTCCTCATTCTAGAAGCATGTTCTTAAAAGGTACCTGCAATTAAGAATATGGTCTCAACACAATTAATCTAACAACAAGTGCCAAATGATACAAAATGTACCAAAAGTAATAGTTTTCATAGCATAGTGTAATATGCCACACATAGGCTAAAGTAAGACAGTCATCATAATGCAAAAGTCAGACAAAATACTAGCAGAATAGTAGACCTCTAAGAAAAGTCATAAAAGTTAGTGCTCCTAGAAAAGTGGTTAGTGAACTAGAATTCCTTTATATGTCTTGATCTGAGCTTTGTTGATGTTCTTTCACAAAATCATCAAATAGAGCCATTTGTTCATACTCAATCATGCAATTAAAGTGTCTGGCAACACATTCATGCTAAAGGAGCATAATGAAGAACATCTCCAGAATGGCTATAGAACATCTCCAACACATGATTAATTTTATA